AATTACGTCGAAATTAAGCTGCAGTAAAGCGACGATTGTCATATCATACGTGACAACTTTAGAAATGATCTTTTATAAACAAAAAAAGATTTACGCTTCATTCTTTTTATAATTTAAGTTAGGTGTTAGACAACCTGTTAATAAAGAGACGGATTTGTATGGACAAGCTTTTATAGTTAACCGCATATCTCCAAAGAACAAAAAAGTCCGTAATAATCCGGATAGAAATGTATTTTTGACAAATGTATTTGAATTATAAAACTCAAACTGCGGTTGCTTAAATAATATATTGCATCACATGATGGTAGATCCGTAAAAAACAACCAGGCCATTTTTAAATAAATCACGTGTAAAATTAATAAATACATTAAGAATACTACCTATTATTAGTATTATCTATTTCATGGTGAGTTAAGAATAATATGGTGCATGAAATAAATGTGTAATGCGTGATTCATGATTTTTATCATCGCCGGGTATACCGGTCACATGATCGCATAATCATATGCGAAAAATTATGAGGGACACTTACACGACAATAATATAATATCATTGCATAAATTTAGCTTTTTTTAAAATAAACATATGGGCAGTTTGCTATTACAGCTAATTTCATAATTCGTGAACCACTAATAAATTGCGACTGAATGCGACTGAAAAATTATTAATGGTTTATGAATTATGAAATTAGCTATAAAATCAAGTCACTATGATTTACTATGCTATGTCTCGTAACTCGATTTTAATAGCAAACGACCCATATCATTCTAAGTGTCTATATCAGGTTATTCCATTAACGCTAAACGCTAAGAACTTTAAAGGTACACGCAATCTCAGAATCCTGAAACATCTGTATAATACTTGTATCAGTCTTATTTTAAGTAATTATTTGTTTCTGGATCAATAGCACCTTACAATCTTTTTTTGATTTTCTTGTTCCTTTTTAATGAAAATATATTATCGATTTCGATTATGAGTTGAAAAAAAAATAAAAAATTTGAAGCAAAATTATAAATTTTTTTATTTCCCAAGCTTTGGGACGCTTTTTAAATGTTTAAATATCATTTATATTCAATTTCTTTAATATTTGGATTAATAATCGATCTGTGCTCCATCGTATATACATTCGAATTCCTTTTTTATTTCCTTTCATGAGCCAGTCCAGTCTCAGTGATACAAAATCGCTATTTTTGTGAAATAATAAACATCTTAACCAATATGAAATTCGCCGCAATTTTCGTAATTACTACATAAGCAGCACTTAAGAAGCATGTTTGGAGACGCTATTGGTGTAACCTATAAAGGTAGCACATGATGATGTTCAGGTGTAGCGTAGCGCGTTTAGAACTTGATTGACGTCTCAGGTCAGTATTGTTAACCTTATGCTTAATAATATTCACCTAACAAATAAAAAAAAACATTCGAATATTTCAAAATGTCAGCTAACAATATGCACAATATGAGTTAAAATATTGTTGTAAAGTATGATTTAATTGAATTTAATAATGAAAAGCATTTGAATTAATTGAAGTGGAAGCTGAAAAAGAATATGGAAGAGGTGAAGGAACAGTAAAAATTTAGAAAAAGCATTTTGTTGTTATCTATTAACCAGTTCATTAACCGGTTAAGACGTTTAACTTGCTTACCGGTGGGGTGGGTAAGTCCAAAATTAGGCAAATTGTTTAGTAGGATGGATACTGCTTATATTTGCAACTCTCCAGGTGGGGTTGGAATCGTTTCAAAAAATCTAATCGAAAGTCTAATCGGCAAAATGATTTTTGAACAGATTACTCGGCTGCTAACAATTCCAGATTTGAAAATACAAAATCGGCAAAATCGGAATATTTATTAGAAAATAATTATACTTTTTTGATTTTTCAATACTAAACTTTTCTTTTTTTAATATTGAGATTATACATAAGCAAAAAATTATGAATGATTACTTATAATATAGCTTTACATTGCTCGATAAACAAAAATGAATCCTTCACTTTTTCATGTAGAATTTTAATAATAATTTTTACCTGTGTTTCGACTTCGTCAATTGTTTAAAGCTTCAAGGTTTCGTTGTCATTTAGCACGTGCCCATATTGTCACTAGTAGAAAAGATATATTTACTTGATCTATCGATTTTGTGTAATCGATTTTTGAAAATCGATTTAAAGTCGTAATTATTAAACGATTTTGCCGAGTTTGAGATTCAAACTAGTTATTTCAGTCGATTTTCGACTTTGGCGATTTTGATACCTAACCATATCGACAGGTATGAAATTGTTTGTGTTATTGTGTTTGATAAAAATATTTATCAAAATTTACCATATAAGAAAAGAAAAGAGGACACCACTTGTCATCTCTTAATTTCGTAAAGGGTGATATTTTAGTCTTTTCAAACGATAACGGTGTTTCGCAAAGTGAAAAGATTGCCAGCAATTATAATAACTGAAATTGAATAATAGAAGTAGAAAAGGATTTTTTAGTTAATAAAATACATGGATTTTCATCTATTACTGCCTCTTTAATAGGTCTCAAAGGAAAAGAATTATTCTAATCTAATCCTATAGAAAATGCAAGGCGAATCAATTTCTCCTTCTTAGGGCTTTAGCGCAGATCCACTTAAAAGTATCAATCATAATATGAACCTGATGGCAGAATGAAATGTTAAATACAGAATATGATCGTAGAAATTGATCTGGACTTTCCCAGTAAATCAAGTCAGGTCTATCAGGATAACTTATGGCTTACAGCTAATTTCATAATTCGTGGACCACTAATAAATTGCGACTGAATGCGACTGAAAAATTATTAATGGTCCATGAATTATGAAATTAGCTGTAAAGGCCGTTTGCGGTAGTTCGAGGTAAAAAAGATGTTATTTCGAAGATGTTTCTAGAATACATGTACAATATTTATTGCATGGCGTTGTTAGTCTTGTTATGACGCACGATACTACGCCAAACATGTGATCCCGATGATTAACTTTTTATCATTTATCTAATTTCTATAATTTCTATAATTTCTTAGCGATCTATAATTTCTTACATTTCTTTAATATCTTTAATTCTTATATATATATATGATATAATTTATTTACTTTATTATATTTTTTTAATTTATTATATATCTATTTCATATTGATGTATTTTATATAAATATCCTGTATCTTTGATAAATGGCAGAGTCGTTACAAATCTCAAATAAATCAATAACATTTTATCTGTAAAACTTATCTTTGCTCGTTTACAATTCATTCTTCTTTAAATCTATATCAATAAAGACGACCTGACCCTTCAATATAATTAATTAGTGTTTATTTCTTACGTAATTAAACTCCCTGTTAGCAAATACGTTCTGTTAACTTAACGACATTCGGTTTAAGTTTAACAGCGTGGAAACAAATAATTGATGATAAAAACCATATATAGAATGTGGTATGGCAACTGCATCGTTTTTTAAAAAAAAAAAATTAAAATGTTAACCTTTTTTAATCTAACTAAATTTTTAAATATTTTTGTATTGTTGTATTGATCTTTTATCATATTAGATGCTGATTGTGAATTTTCATCAACGTATTATCAGATGCAAGTGTAACATCCGTCTCATACAAACCATCTACAGTAAATCATTGTCGATCCAAAAAAAGGTTACGTTCAGAATTATTTATAAAAAGGTTAAACCTTTAAAAAATAACGAAAATGTCAAGTTCAGAAATTAAGATGTCTTTGTCTTATTATAAAACAACTCATAAATAATTTATTGTTTAACTATTTTGAGACATTAATTTTTCATTCCAGATATATTTTTTTATTTTTAGGTAACAAATCTAAATAATGATTTTCAGAAATTAATTGATGAGCGCCGCCTTCGAATAATTTTTAGGGGATTATTAATTTTTTACAAAATTATAAACTTTTCGTTATTGTCCGTCGTGGTGAATTCGCTTTTTGTTATAATAGTACATATCATAATTAAATATGGAAAGAAAATTAATTAGTTGTACATATCATATTAATGAATATTGACAATAAAACAATCAAATTTTGGCAACAATGGAAAAACTATTTGTAAAATTAAAAATTTACCGGTTCCCAAACTTTAAAATAACGTTCTTTTTTATTCGTTTTTACATTTTTAAAAATCTACAATGGATGATTGAAGTTATTTAATAATAATGATGTGATAATGATGTTTACTTAAAATTAGTTAATTTGCCAATCAAAGAAATAATTGTCGTTAAATTATTTTCATAGAAAATCAGAAAAAAGGTGATCTCTAATAAAAAAAATTGTTTTTTGTTTCTACAATGTTAAATGAATTTTCTATATTGGGCTAGATATAGATGAAAATTTATTGCTTTATATAATGATATAATTTATTTTTTTTAAAAAAAATTTATAATTTTAAAAAAAGAAAAAAGATGCAATTTCCGCACCGTACTCTATATGGGTTAGTACGTACAAAAATCGGGTTTTGATCATATGATTTATATAGTCCCGCAGCATGATTTTCGTACGTACTAATTCATATGTTGTTTTTATTATCAACTTTTTTGTGTCTTATAACTCGACACTATGCAAAACATACAACTATACTATAGAATATCTTCTTAATAACAATCTTTTTTATCTTGAACCACCACAAACTGCCTTTACTCTAGACATTAAACCAATAAGTTATCCAGATAAATGTGACTTAAAACAATTACATTTGGTTTGGTTACTAGACACGGTAATTTATTAATTAGTACAAAATCTACAAAGTTAGCATCATGAAAACACACTTTTTTTCTTTTAATTATTAGGATCAAGATATCCAGATCCAGAGCGAGTTTTAGCTTTTGACGAATTATAAAAATATTTTCTAATGTATCCGTTGCAAAAGATTGGGTAAAAAGATTTACAATTAAATCATAATTAAAATTATTTTTTCGTTTTAAAAAGGAGATCTACTATCATTTTATTTGATATTTTTTTGATATTTTTAGTATAAAAATCCTTTTTCCCATGAGTAAAAATTATCAATTGATCAAACGAGGGGAAATCGAACCTTATTTTGATGGTTTACAATCCCGTAAAAGATATGCAAAGTTTTGGGATGGAGTTAAATATGATCCCGAAGTTATAAAGTTTCAGAGTACTCAATTATCGAGGTAAAATATTGTTAGAACTTTCATATTTAGTTTATTTCAAGCAATTCAATATTTTGAATAAAGTTACGATGATGTGATGATTCGTATTTATACTTATATAAGAACCGGTGCTTCCATAATGGGTCCTTTAGATACTTGTAAAAGTCAGCCTATATTCAGCGTGTTACGTTGTGGTGGTCAATAGACTAATTAAGTCACAACTATGCATGGTAATACAGCAAAATTACTATTGATGATTTTTTTTGTGAAAAACTCATTAGTTCGAACTTTGGAAAAATGCCGGCTAAAAAAATGAGATCTACCAGATTTTATTACTAACATAAAACCCGGCTGAATTGCATTTATATTATTAAAGTATTCGTCATTATAAGTATTAAATAAAAAGAATTTTTATTTAGATCTCATTTTCCAAACATCCTTTCAAAGAGTTGTGAAGCTTGAATCTCATTTAATTGATTATCTTGTATCTCTGAAAGAGCTTCTTTATTTTTTACAAAAATATTCAAAAAATTATTCTATTACTTGAGACTTACAAACAGGCCTTTAGATACTAAGTAAAGTTATTCAATAGGGATCAAAATAAATATTTATTAAATCTTATTAATACTGAATAATATTATGAATCTATCAATTTTTTCATTGATACATAATTTTTTTCTTTTAAGGTGAATTCTGGTAATTTGCTCAAATGAAGCTGGCTTTTGTTTTTGAGACTCATTGAAGAGATTCAGTAGGTATCAAAATGATTATATATCAAATTTCATTAGTATTAAATAATTAATCATGAATCTTTCACTAATTCATTTTTTATTATATATATTATAACACTGAATCAACCAGCGATTTTTAGATTTTAACTTTCAATTAATAAATTATAATATTATAAGAATTTAAAAATATTTTTATTTTATCAATTTCGAACCTTCAACATAAAAAAATTAAGTATGCTAGGGGGAATCCCCCGTACCACTAACTCGCAGATCAATTCAACAGAAAACAGAAATTGAATTATAGAAGAAAGGATTTTTATACAAAGGATTACTGTGCTCTGTAAATAAGTCTCAAAGGAAAAGAACTATTCTAATCTGATCCTATAGAAAATGCAATGCGAAAGGTCTTCTTTATCCTTCTTAGGGATTTGGCACGGATCCTCTTAAAAATATCAATTAGGCCTGATGGCAGAACAAAATATGGTCGTCATACGGCGCAGCGATTTTCCCGAGTGACACTTGACCGTTTGCGAGAGAGGATATTCTTGTACAATATTTATTGCATAACGTTGGTTATAAGACAAAAATAAATTGATGATAAAAACAATATATAGAATGTGGTATAGAAACTGCATCTTTTTTTTTAAAAAAAAAAATTAAAATGTTGAAAGTTGAAAATGAAACATCTAATCTACATTATTAACAATATTATTCATTAATTTAACCA